GAGGGCGCGCGCCGCGAGAAACCGACGCGCTTCTCGTCGGGGTGCCCACGGGTGTTCCTTCGCTCGGCGCGCCGCGCGGTGGCTCCCCGTGGCCGTGGAGGAAGGCTGCTGCGTTCGGGGTGCCCCGGGCTTTCCCTCCGTCGCGCCTCTCGCGCGGGTCTTCAGGGCTGGGTTTCTCGCGGCCGCTTCCGCACTGCACTGCACATACCAGGACGGGCAGTTTTTGGCAGCCTGCGGCCTCCAGAGAGGCCCTCGCTGGCCTCGGGGGCAGTCCACAGGCCGACTCGGGATGGAGAACCGGTCCTGGGGAAGGGGTCAAGATTTCCGGGGACCGAGCTCCTTCTTGAGCCGTGTGACAGGGCGACGGCACCCCTTGCGCCAGACATGCTCGCGCCGTGAACAAAGTACGGTTGGAGGCCGTTCTTGCCTGTTTTGGCCCCTGGGGGCCCTCGCGGGGCCGCCAGAGAACGACTGCGGGGTGGGTGTCGCCCTCCTGCGCTTCCACCGCCTCTCCGCGTCCCCTGCGAGGTGCCCTTGGATCTGGGTGCTGCGGTTTGTTCACGCTGGGCGCCCTGGGGCCATCACAGATAGGTCAGGCTCAAAACATGTCGCAGAGAGATGGGTTCCAGGGCTCCTGTCGTGATCTCTCGCGACGCTGCTTTTTTTTCGCAGCGTCGCATCTCAGGGGGGTGGGGTGCTGTGGGACCTCCCCCCTCCTCCGCCCTCCTCCTCCTCCTCGTCCTCCTCCTCCTCCTCCTCCTCCTCCTCCTCTCCTCCTCCTCCTCCTCCTCCTCACTCCTCCCCCTCCTTCTCCTCCTCCTCCTCCTCCTTCGAAGTTCCTCTCCTCCCTCCGCTCTGCCTCGTCGGCCTCGGCCTCCCTCCAGCTTCACCCCCAAACATGCCAATGCGCTGCGTGCGTCGCATCTCAAAGGGGTGGGCGACGCGCGCGCTCTCTCAGAAGTCTCACGGTGTCTGCTCGGTGGCGGGCGCTGTCTGGCCACACCTCGGGGGGAAGGAGCTGCTCTAAGATTTAAGTCGGGCCTGTCCCCCTACAGGGGGATTTTCGACGACAAATAAAAGATACCCCCAGCATAGTGAACAAATTGTCCAAAACTAGTCAGGGGACTTTTTTTTTTTTTGTTGTTGTTTTGTTTATGCCTTGTTGGGGTATTTTTGGGGTATGTTTTATTTTCCGTCGAAAATCCCCCTGTAGGGGGACACGCCCGACATAATCTAAGATGGCTGTGCTACTCAGCCGGCCCAGATTAGTAGGGCGACCCTGCCAAATCCAGGGTACCCCTGTGTCCTGTGCCTCGCGACCCATGCTTCCTGTATTCCTGTGGCAATGTGGCCCTCGAAAGGGTCTTATGTCCTCCCGCGTGTCCTGTCCAATCGAGTCCGACTTGTTTGGTTCTGGTGGGACGCACGCCTCCAAGGAGGGCACGTCATACCAGCACGTCTTTCCGCGTCCCGTTCCTCCCCCCCGCCAGCGACACAAGGCGAGCCTCGCCCCGCAGGCCAGGGTCCCTGGTTCCGTTGCCGTCCGCGAGCTCCCGAGCTCCCGGGCTCCTGCTGCTCTTCTTTCGGGGCTTGGGGGTGGAGCCTTCGAAGGGAGCCCTGCGGCCAGCGAGTGTCAGAGGAGGAAACGGTACCCATACCGCTACCCTTCCCTCGTTTTCGCCCTTTTGGGCCTCCTGGGAGGCCCTCGTCGCTACCGTTGGATTCGCATGGGAAATCTAGTCAGAACGCACCCCGGGAGAGGCCTATCGGTACCTTTCGGCTTCCCCAGAGTGAGCCCAGCGGCGGGCCTTCCGTGCCATGTGGGGCCTGCGGACCTTGCCAGGCCCTGTCGTGGCCCAGCCTGCTGCTGTGCTGCTCAGCTCGGGCGTGGCGCCCTCGGCTACTGTGTCCAGCAGGTCCGGCGCGGGAAGCCTCCGCTCCTCCTGGGGGCGCCGCGCAGTCATCGGGTCATGCGGTGCTCTGTCTGAGCTGCCGTGGCTCGCTCCCCGTTCCGGCAGAGAGCCCCGTGCTGCCCGAGGGCCACGGCCTGGGGCCTCCTCAGAACGTGAGGCCGAGTGTCCCCCGCGCGGGGTCTCCCCTCTGAGCGGTGACCCATCACGTGGCCAGGGAGGCTTGCCGCGTGTCCCCCCCCCCGCCACTCTCGGGGCGCCCTCGAGCTTCCGGCCGCCTGGGCCAGCTCGACCCCCTCCGCCCTCCTCCTCGCGGGGCTCGAGCCAGATCGTGTTGGGGCGATTCCGTGGGCCGGTTTCGAACGAAAGCGAAACGAAAACGGAGAGCACTGTTTAGCTCGAGCCCCGCCTCGTGCCTTCTCCTCCTCCTCCTCCTCCTCCTCTTCCTCCTCCTCCTCCCTCCTCTTCCTCTTCCTCCTCCGCCTCCGCCTCCCTCCTCCGAGGGTCCCGGAGGGCGCCCCGGGCGGGCCGCTGCGGGCGCAGGGGTTGCATCCATATCTTCGCAGAGGCACTTGGCCACCTCGCTCGGCCCGCTGCTGCTGCCGCCGCTCGGATCTCTCCCCAGCGCGCTCAGCCTCTGCCTTGACCTCCAGTGAGTCCCTTCCCTCGTCCTCCTCGTCCCCGCCTGCCGCCGTCGCCGTCGCCGTCGCCGTCGCCGCCGCCCCCGCCGCCGCCGTCGCCGTCGCCGTCGCCGTCGCCGTCGCCGTCGTCGTCGTTTTCGTTCGTGTCGCTGCGGTCGTTCGTCGTGGTTGTGTCGTTTCACCGTCGTCGTTCGTCTCCCTTGCGGTCACTGTCGTCGTCCTCCCTGGATGCGTCGTCGTCGTCGTCGGCGGCGGCGGCGGCTGCTCTGTTCCTCTCTGCCTGGACCTCGTGCCCCTCCGCGTGTGTGCGCGCGAGGCCGCCCTGGAATCCCAAAATCCTCGGCGTGCTGCGCCCGCGGACGGGTGCGCCGTCCTCCGCTTCCCCCCTCGAGAGGGTTGGCGCCCTGCTGCCGAGGGCTCCCCCTGCCCGTCGGGTGCCGGGGGCGGCCCGCCGGCCGCGCGCGCGCGCGTCTCGGCCAGGCTCGCGCTCCCGCGGGATGCTTCGCGGTGGGAGCCCCGGGGGGAACCCCGCGGAAGTGGTGGCTGGCACGTTGGCGACTGAGATGCTGTAGTTTCGCTGTTCTCCTGATCTTTTTCTTTCCTTCCTTCTTTCTCTGTGTCTCTCTCTCTCTCTTTCTATATCTATGTATATGTGTGAAGGTTGGTTTCTTCCACGTGCACGGCCTCAGCACCTTTTTACCTGCATGCGTCGACCATTCGGTCTGACCCCCATCGGCGCACGTTCGGTGGCAATCGCTCTCTAGCGCGTCCCGCTATGGTCCGCGCTGCGTTGGATCATTCGGCCACGGAAGGAACAGCTGATGGTGAAGAGAGCGTGCAGAAACACAATCATCAAACTGTGGGTCCGAAGGCTCCCAGCCGCCATCCTGTTGCCCTATAAGAGCGGCGGAAGAGAGAGGGGGGTGGTCTGCGCGGGCACTCGCGCGTAAACTTCGCGCGGAAAGCCGCGCGTGGAGCCCTCGCTTCCAAAGTGGGCGTGCCACGCTGGCGGCCCGCGCAAGCCGCCGCGTAGGGTCGCTATGTCATCTCTCAGGAGGGAAAAACCACACAGACACAATTAATCGGCGAATCCCAGGAAAATATGGAAAAATGTAGGAAGAGGGGGGGAAGACAAAAAAAACAGACAATATGGGGAACTATGGGGGATATTTTTATTTGTGTGTATCTATTTGTGTGTCCTGGGGCCCCTTCAGTCATCTCGCGTAAGATCAATTTCCATTCGTCGCTCACATGGCGGTTGATGGGGCGGGTGTCTTGCGTGTACCGGCTGCGCAAACGGCCAACCACCATGCACATTACGAAATGGTGGTTGGGGCTTTCTGGGCAGTTGGCAAGTTTATCATGGCGCAGGTAGACAAACCAGCATGGCACTAACCACCATGTTGTTCATTCCAAGGCCTCCTCGTGATTTCGGCATGGGTCTGCTCCAGAGGCCGCCCATGAGGGGGGGCTCGAAGGCTCCAAGTCTTCAGGGCGTTTTCGCCGGCTCTCTGCGGTTTTCCAGCCCCGGTGCTTTCCATCAGCTGCGCCTCGCTGAGAACGTTCTGGGGGTGCCCTGATCGTCCCGAACGACCGCTGGAGGCCCGAGTTATGACCCGAAAGTCACCAGGTGTCGAGGGGGGTGAGGACTTAGGGGTGTGTATTTTTACCGTAGCCTCGTCCTTCACCGCTCCCCCTGTCATCCACGCCCGGATGGCTTATGGCGGCCGGCTGCTGCGGGACCCTAAGCGGTCTCTGAGGGCTCGGGTGTTCCTGGTCGCGCGCGCGCGCTCGCTGCCTTAGGACCTTCCCCGCCCTGTCGCCGCGCGCAGGGCCACGTCCCCCAAAAGTGTGTGTGTGTGTGTGTGTGTGTATATGTATATATATATATATATATGTGTTAATGTGTGTGTGTGTGTGTGTGTTTTGCGCATTTGTATGTCCTATTTATACGCTCTTCCGCCAGCGCAGTCACTCTGTCTAGCCGCCGTCGCGACAAGTGTGTGTGTGTGTGTGTGTGTGTGTGTGTGTGTGTGTGTGTGTGTGTGCGTGTGTCCGTGCGTGCGTGCGTGTGCGTGTGTGTGTGTGTGTGCGTGTGTGTGTGTGTGTGTGTGTGTGTGTGTATGCGTGTGTGTGTGTGTGTGTGTGTGTGTGTGTGTGTATGCGTGTGTGTGTGTGTGTGTGTCTGTTCGCGGGTATCAGGACCGGGGCCACGACATGTGGGAATGCTCCTGCCCCCCCAGTTCCTCCTCCTCCTCTTTCTCTTCCTCTTCTCCTTCCTGTTCTTGTTCTTGCGCCTCCTCCTCCTCCTCTCCCAGTGCGCTCCCAGTGCGCTCCCTCGCCCGCGCGCCTGCCTCGGGCCCTGGGGCGCGGGCCCCCTCCTGCCTCGGGCCCCGGGGCGCCTGCCCGCTGCCCTCCCGCCCCGGTGCCCCGCGAGGCGCCCCGCCCCATGGGCCTTGCCGAGGCGCTGCCCCGCGTGGCCTGAAGTCGGGCCTGTCCCCCTACAGGGGGATTTGCGACGGAAAATAAAAAGTACCCCCCAAATAGCCAAACAATAGTCCAAAAATAGTCTGGGGACTATGTTTTGGAATATTTTTTGACCTTTTCGGTATATTTTTTGGTATTTTTTTAGTTTTCGTCGACAATCCCCCTGTAGGGGGACACGCCCGACATAAGCGTGGCCTTGCATCGTCCTGCGCCCTCAGAGCTCGTGCCGCGGGAGCCCCCTCGGCGCCTCGGCTGGCCTCTCCTCGGAGACTTCTGGTCCGGGGGCACCCCGGGGCAGGTCTCAGCGGCACCGTAACGGGTACTCACTGACGGGTACTTTGGAGATTTGCCGAAAGTTGCCTTTTTTGTGCCTCTTGGCGGCACCGCAGCGTTGCCCACATCGGGGAGGGTTGGGTTCGCCAGGACACTAGTCAAAGTACCCGTTAATTAAGTCCCCGTTAGAGGGGCGCTGAAGGTCAGGGGAGCAGCGGTATCGGTGCCTTCGTGGCCGTCCCACATCTGCGGCCACGAGTTCTATGCCAGCACCGCGTCGCGCTGCAGCGGGTTGCCGTGCGTGGCGTTGCTGAGGGTATGGTCCCGGCGCAGTTTTCGATTGCGTTGCATTGCCTTGCGCGCTGCATCGTATCTCGCGGTCGCATTGCTTCGCTTGCTTGGCGTTCATGGCAGTGCTTTGTATTTGCTTTGCTCTGCGATGCTGAAACTTGTGTTCGCTTCGCGTCGCCATTTTTTTTCGTTGCGTACAGTTTTGATTGCAGTGTAATGCGACGCGACTCTACACAGATGCAGTGCCTTTGATTGCAGTGTAATGAGAATCAAGGCGAACAGCAGCGATTAGCAGCACATCATGGCAACGCAGTGCGAAGCCATGCAAAACTCAGCATAGCGAAGCAACCCAAGCAACCTGTGCGCTCCCGAGCGGAGTGCACGTGGGGTAAGGAGGACGCGGAGGATGATGACGTGCAGGAGCAGGAGGAAAGACAACGATGACGACGACCGCCCATCCTTCGCCCTCGCGGAGAGGGCGAATCGATCCGGCTGGGTCCCGACGGCGAGCCCTACCTAGTGAGCGTTGCCGCACGGCACGACTTGCAGTTCAAAGTGGCGATGGCGACCGGGGCGGCCAAATCCAAACTGATGATTTGATTCACACCCCTCCCCCCCTCGGGGGAGGGGGAGGAAAGGAGGGAGGAGAAGTTGGATGCGCATGAGGAGGTGGATGAAGAGGGGGATGATGATGATAATGATAATAATAATAATAATAATGATGATGATGATGATGATGATGATGATGATGATGATGATGATGATGATGATGATGATGATGATGATGATGATGATGATGATGATGATGATGATGATCTGCTGCTGCTGCTGCTGCTGATGATGATGATGATGATGATGATGATGATGATGATGGATGTGGTGGTGATGATGATGATGATGATGATGATGATGAGAAACATATTGATGATGATGCTGATGCTGATGATGATGATGGGAGGAGGAGGAGGAGGAGGAGGAGGAGGTTGAGCAGGAGAGGAGGAGGAAGAGGAGGAAGAGGGGGAGGGGTGAGGCCGGGAGGGTGAGGAGGGGGGTGGATGAGGAGGAGGAGGAGGAGGAGAAGTAGGAGGAAGAGCAGGAGGAGGAGGACGAGGAGGAGAAGGAGGCGGACGACGAGGAGGAGAAGGAGGAGGAGAAGGAGGATGAGAAGGAGGAGGAAGAGGAGATGCAGGACGACACGAGCAGGAGGCGGAGGCGGAGCAGCAGGAGGAGCAGCGGCAATTCCAGGAGTAGGAGGACAGGGATGAGGATGAGGAGTCGAGGGGAGGGGAGAAGGGCGAGCCAGGTAAGATTGCGATCTGGCATCCTACCCCTCCCACCCATTCCTCCCCACTGCGCTGTTTCTTCTCTATCCGCCGCCGCGTGTCATGGTGGACCTGGAACTCCAAAGAGGACCCCGTCGTGTCATGCGCAATTGAACAAACAAATAAAGCTGCGTACGTTGGAGGAGAGGGTGGCGGATGAGCAGGAGGATGGGCAGGAGGAACACAAGGATGAGGAAGGAGGAGAACGATGACGAGCAGCACCAGCAGGATCAGGAGTCGAAGGAGCGGGAGGAGCAGGAGGACCAGGTGAAGGCGGAGAAGGAGAAATGAGGGGGTCGACACCGATGAAAATTGTTCGGATCTAGAACAGTGGCCCTCGCTGGGTCGAGAGCGCCACTCTGAACGACAGGAGTAGCGCGCCGATCCGAAAATGAGGCCCACGCTGCAGCGGGAGCACCAACTTGACACATTGGAAACGATTGGATTGTAAACCAGCCGTGCGAAACATCAACCTTTGAAGTCCGGTGTGGTGAAGAGAGTACGTGGAGAGGGCCGACAACCTTCTGGACAGAGTCAGGGGAAAAGGAGAAAGTAGCATTTATACTGTGTAATTGTGGATGCAGGGGGAGGGGGAGGGGAAGGGGGAGGAGTGAGGAGAAGGAGGAGGAGGAAGAGTAGAACCAGTGTAGACCCACGACGCATCAACTATGTTGCAGTGCACTCTCCCTCCAAATTCCTCTTTCTAGGCCCCTGCAATAAGTAATTTTCTTCGCGGGAAGTGCTCCATTGAAAGACAACCGGCTGACACTCCGCCATCGTGCCAAAGCACAATTTTTTGGGACTTGGACGCCGCGAAACAACATGACTGCTGCGTCCGTGCCAAAACTCCATGCCTGGGACTCGAACGCCGCGAATCAACGTGACCGTTGCGTCCTGACAGCCCTAAAGCCTGGCAGATCGGAGCAAAACACAGTTCCCAGGACTTCAACCCTAAAGATCCTTGAAACCTTTGCACACTTCTGAGGCGAATGCGCGCGGCGCCAAGGCGAGAGTCACATTTTTAGAATGAGCCGCCCTCAATCTTTGAAGCTGTGGCAAGCTTAGGACGAAGGTGCGCGGCGCTAGGGCGAGAGCTACATTTTGAAAATGACCTGCTCTCCATTTTTGAAGCTACTGCAAACTTTCCAGGCTACCATGGGCGGCGCTAGTGAGAGTTTCACATGGTGAGAACGGCCCGCGCTTTACCCTTGACGCTGTCGGAAATTTCCAGCCTAAGGATCATTCATAGTGATGAGGTCTGGCGGAAAGCCCGACCCGCCCCACCGACACGTCTGGGGGTGCGACAGGGATTAGGTATTTGTAAGGATGTTAGCCAGCGCGGACCCCAAGCAGCGATTTCTTGCAACCAGTGCGATGCAAACTATAAGGTGCAATCAGTGTGGTGCCGCGTAGGCGGTTCAATCCATGTGGTGCAAGCTATGTGGTACAATGCAGAACACATCACTGCAATACAGCGCGACGCGATGCAGCGCAATGCAGTACTGCACATCAACATAGCACGCAATGCACAATGATGACATCAAGGCCCAAGACTACAGACAATGCACAGCAACGCGCAGCTATGCAACATACTGTACACTAATGCGCCTCACCGTAACGCAGCGCATCGCAATGCGAAGTAATCTAGTTGTATGCAACGCAATGCGGAGCAATGCAACGCAATGCAATGCACTGCGATTGTAACGCGCTTTAATGTGATTGTAATGTACAGCAAACCGATACCAATGCAAATCAATGCAAAGCAACGCACAGCAGTGCAACGTACTGCGACGCAATACAACGCGATGCAAGGCAAAGCAAATCAATTCAACGCAATTCAACGCAATTCAACGCAATGCATCGCAATGCACAACAATGCGAAACACATGTAATACATGCAAAGCGATGCGATGCAATGTAGTGCACTGCAGAGCAGTGCACCGCAATACAACTCCGTTTCAATCTATGCAAAGCAATGTAAACCAATGCGATGTAACCCAATGCAGCGCAATGCAGTCTGATGCACAGCCATGCAAATAATGCGAATCAATGCGATTGCAATGCGACTGCAATGCGATTGCAAAGCACTGCAACGCGACTGCAACGCAATGCACTCGTAATGCAATGCGATTGTAATGTAATGCGATTGCAAAGCAACGGGGGGGGGTGCAGCGGGGCAGCGGGGATTGGTGGGAACGGGGCCGCAAACGGGGCCGCAAGCCAGCCTTTCCAATCGGTTGCAAATCAACGATCGGATTGCCAACGATGGGATTGCAACGGTTCGATTGCAATGTGTGGGGGGGGGTGCAACCGGGCGGCGACGGGGCGGCTGCTTCGGCGACTACAGGGCGGCAGACCCGACAGCGGAGAGCCCAGACGACGGGCTGCGATGAGGCGGCGACGGGGCGGCGACGGCGACCACAAGGCGGCGGACCCGACAGCGGTGCCCGGTTCCTTAGACAAGAAGTCAGACCCCCTACGTGCAAGCACTGTTTTAGGGAAAAGGGATGGATGAGGAGGAGGAGCAGGAGAAGGAGGAGGACGAGGAGGAGGTGGAGGTCACCACTCCTGTGGTTATGGCCGCCCCGAGGTGATATTCCTGACCACGCTGTTCGGGCTTGGGGCCGGGATGCTGTCCCTGACCAGCCAGGCAAAGGCTTGCGGAAGGGGCGACCAAGTTGGGGGGCTGTGGCTTCGAGGATAAACGTTTTTGGGTTCGCTATTCGAAGTTTTCGGATCTTTTCGTGGGTTCTCGGCGGTCTTCCTGCCTTGGGATGCTTTCCAGCAGATGCGTATTGTCGAGAGCGTTTTGGGGGTGCCCAAACCGCCCCGAACGGTCACTGGCGAGCCGGGGTATGGCAAGAACACCGGATGACGATGACGATCACGACGACGTGATGACAATATTGATGATGGTGATGGTGATGTTGCTGATGCTGATGATGTTGTTGATGATGATGATGCTGATGATGTTTTAAGGATGCTGATGCTGATGATTATGATGATGCTGATGCTTACCATGGTCATAACGGTGACGGCGATGATGATGATAAGGTTGCTGATGTCGATGGATATCGCGATGCTGATGACGATGGCGCAAATTGCCTACGATGTTGATGTTGATATTGGTGTTGCTACTCATGTTGGCGATGGCGATGATAACGATGGCGACGACGACGACGACGACGGTGGCGACGACGACGATGATGACGATCAAGCTTATGCTTATGCTGGTAATGATGGTGATGATGCTTACCACGCTGATGATGCTGATGATGCTGATGATGCTGATCATGTTGAATATGATGTTGATGTTGTTGCTGATGATGGGGCTGCCGATGATGCTGACGATGCTGATGATGCTGATGATGAAGCTGGTCATGCTGGTGGTGGTTGTGGTGGTGGTGATGACGATGATGATGCTGATGATGATGATGATGATGATGACGACAGCAATGATGCTGATGATGGTGGCGATGGTGACGACGTTGTGATTATAGGGGGCGAACGGGCATGTGGAGGTTGATGGCGAGGTGACGAGGTCTATAACCAGAAGAGAGAGCGATGTGTCGAACGGATGCTGATGTTGATGTTGATGATGCTGCTGATAATGATGATGATGCTGCTGCTGATGAGTATTATGACGATGGTGATGATGATAAGCAGGACTACGATGCCGACGATGCTGATACTGAGGCTTCTGATGATTGTACTGCTGATGATGGTGGTGCTGGTTATGATGTTGATGCTGATGATGATGGTGGTAATGATGGTACTGATGATGCTGATGATGATGAGGATGATGCTGCTGATGGTGGTGATGATGAGGATGTTGATGATGAAGATGCTGCTGCTGATGATGATGATGATGCTGATGATGCTGCTGATGATGAGGATGCTGATGCTGCTGATGATGCTGATGTTGTTGATGATGATGGCGATGACGCAGTCTAGGTGGACCAGTCTATGTGGTTCAATATATGTGGTGCTATCTATGTGGTGCAATTGATTGTTACAAGCGAGTTGACACATTCCATGCTCTTGCAACCAACTCACCCACCCATCTTCAACTTGGTTGGCAAAACCCATGCGGCGGCGATTGCGATGAGTGCTTGGCGTTTGCTGGTGCATCTCTGCGGCCGCGCTAGCCCGCGCATGCTCGCGCGCACAGCGGCCAGCTAGTTTGGCGCGACCGACGCGGCCGCGGTGGCGCTGACCGCTGGGCACTCCCCACCGGGCGCTTCAGTGCGAGTGGGTGTCTTTGGCGGGCGCGGTATCATGGCGACGCCGACAACAATAGACACGATTATGAGAGTAGCGATGGTGACGAAGGTGGCGACGGGGACGGCAAGGCCAATGACGGCGTTGAGCACGCCCGCCGATAACGATGACGGTGTCCTCGTGTCGGCGATGACAATGTTTGAGCGAGTTCGACCTGCGCGCGCGGCCGACGCGCGCGATTGGCCCGCGTGGTATTCTTTGACACGCATCGTGTCCCCCCCAGCACGCGTGCAAGGGCGTTCGAATGATTTCGGCATGCGGCGCGAGAGGCCCGCTTGGCAGAAGTTGATGAACATGCTGGAAAACCGATGGTTTGCCTCGGAAGCCGCAGTGGCGCGAGCGCGGGATTTCTTGAAAACGGATGTTGCAAAACCGTGTGTTTTCATATGTTTCCGGGGCGCTCGATTTGGAATTCCGTATATATATATATATATATACTTATAAGAAATAAAAAATCAGCATGCGCGCGCGACGACGCGCGCGTGTGCACTCTGTTTATTTGTTGAAAAGGGTTCTTGCGATAGCACGCGCGCAAAGACGTCAACCGATTTTGACGCGCGCGCGATGAACAAATTTGGACATAGCGTATGACAGTATTGAAAAAGCAAACATGGTTTTCAGGTTTTCTTTGTTCTCGCGACTCTCGGTTTTTTTTCAAGAATTTCGGCATGCGCGCGCGACGACGCGCGCGTGTGTGCATTTTGTTGGTATAATAACAAAGACGAGCAACAACTGCTAATTGAAAACGGATGATCTGTGATATACGAGAGTGCGCGCGTATGTTTTTTTTTGCAGGATGGCGGGGGGTGTCGATAACGGTCTGTCCGGGATGGTATGAATTCATCTTAAGAATGGACGATGGGGCAGAACCACATGTAAATTGCAATACGAAAAAGGGAGACAGTTCATTCCAGGGGGAATCCATTATTTTTGTTAGGAACGGGAACCTATGTGCTGCAATCTATGTTGTGCAAGCTATGGGGTATAACCTGCGTGGGGCAATCAATTTATGTTCGCAGTGCGTTGTCCACACCACTGCTCGAACAATCATTCCACCCGCCCACCCGCAACTTGGTTTGCAAAACCCGCGGCGGTGATTGCGGGGAGTGTTTGAAGTTGGCCGGTGCATCTCTGCGGCCGCGCTGTCCCGCGCACGTTCGCGCGCGCAGCGGCCAGCTAGTTTGACACTGCCGCCGCGGCCGCGGTGGCGCTGGCCACTGGGCACTTCCCAACGGGGACTCCCGTGCGAATCGGCGACTTGGGCGGGCGCGGTATCATGGCAACGTCGACAACGGTAGACGCGATGATGTTTGTAGCGATGCTGGTGACGATGGTGACAACGACGACGGCAAAGCCAGCGACGGCGCCGATGCTGACCACGCCGACGGCGATGACGGCGCCTTCGCTTCGGTGCCGACTTTTTGGAAGGAGTTCGGCATGTGCGCGCGGCCGACGCGCAAGATTGGCCCGCGTGGTTCTATTTGACGCGGAGCGTGCCCCGCCCGCAGCACGCGCGCAAGGGCGGTCGAATGATTTCGACGTGCGGCGCGAGGGGCCCGCTGGCCGAATTTAGCGAAGATGTTGAACAAGTATGGTTTTCTTTAGAGATCCCAGTAGCGCGAGCGGGGGCATGATTGAAACCTGATGTTGCAATCCTGTTTTTCCATATATGCATTTATGCATTGACATTTTTCGGGACAGTCGATTTTGATATCCGCACGAAGAAAGAGTAAATGTAATGTTTGAAGGGTTTCGGCATGCGCGCGCGACGACGGGCGCGTGTGCATTCCGCTTCGTTTTTTCAAAGAGTTCTTGCGTCATCACGCGTGCAATGGCATTCGAACGATTCCGACATGCGCTCGCGAACGGCCTGTTTTGGGGCACGTTCTGGACATGAATAACTTGTGGTTTTCTTGCGAATTCTGTTTTAACATTCTTGTTGCGAAACCATTTGTTTTCATATGTTTTCGGGGTTCGATTTTGCGTGCGAGACCCACGGGTTTTGACGGATTTCGGCATGTGCGCGCGACGGCGCGCGCGTATGCACTTCGCCCAGTTTTTGTGTGCAAAGGGTTCTTGGCAACCGACGATTTTTGATACACGGGTGTGCGCGCTTAGTTTTTGGCGCAGGATGAGGGGGTGAACCGGTAACGGCCTGACTGGATTGGTCTGATTTCATAGTTCGGATGGACGGCAGGGCAGGATCATACGCAATTTGGAAGACGAAGGGTGGCGCGTTAATCCTTGGGGCGGGGGGTCGATCCCAATCTTCCTTTTATAGTGTTACAGAACTTGGAGTTTTTCAACTCCGCGGCTTGCGCAAACACTCTTCCCGCGCACCCGAAATGCGGCTTGCAAAACCCAGCGCTGTGACGATTGCGATGAGTGCTTGGCGCTGTCTGGCGCATCGCTGGTGCTGCGCTGGCGCGCGCGAGCTCGCGCGCAGAGCGGCCAGCTAGTTTGGCGCGACCGGCGCGGCCGCGGTGGCGCTAAATGATGGGGGGTTCCAGGCGCGTCTCGCAGACAGCGCTGGCGCGCGGGCACTTCAGTGCACGTCGGTGATTCTGGCGGGCACGGTATCACGGTGATGTCGACAGCTGAGAACACGATGGTGGCAGTTGCGAGAATGGCCACGATGATGCCGATGACGGTGGCAAGGCCCATGACGTCGCCTATGCTGGTCACGCCGATGACGATGATGGTGTCCACGGGACTGTGATGAAGATTTTGGAAGGATTTCGACATGCACATGCGGCTGATGCGCGCGAGCGGCCCGCATGATACAACCCGATAGGGGTCGTGATCCCCAGCAAACGCGCAAGGGCGTTCGAATGATTCCGACGTGCGCGCGCGAGGGGCCCGCGTTCTCCCGATGGTTTCCATACACATTCGCAAATGTGCGCTTGCAGTGTTGACGTATAAACGCGAAACCATTCCCCAATCAGAGCTTGCTTCTGTAGGGGTCCTAGCGGATTTAAGGGTAGGTGAGGTTTGCCGCCGATTCGGTGGCGGGGCCCAGGTGCCCAGGTGCCCGGGTGCCCGGGTTCGCCGCCGATTCGGTGGCGGGGCCCGGGTGCCCGGGTGCCCGGGTGCCCGGGTTCGCCGCCGATTCGGTGGCCGGGCCCGGGTGCCCGGGTGCCCGGGTGCCCGGGTTCGCCGCCGATTCGGTGGCTGGGCCCGGGTGCCCGGATGCCCGGGTGCCCGGGTGCCCGGGTGACGGGTGCTGGGTGCCCGGGTGGGTGCCCGGGTGCCGGGTGCCGGGTGCCAAGGTGCCTGGTTCTTTGTAGCCTTATAGCCGTATAGCCCTATATCCCTATCGGTCTATAGCCCTATCGCCCTATAGCCGTGTAGCCCATATAGCCATATAGCCATATAGCCCACATGGCGCCCAAGAGCCCATATAGCCCTGTAGCCCTATAGTCCTACAACCCTAAAAAGATGATGAGTGGGGCTTTTCTCTGGTATCATTGTTTTCTACATATGGTATCGGTTTTGAAAACCATGCGACACCTAAGGCTGTTGAGGGGTTCCGACGACGACGCGCGCGTTTGGACGGTGTTTCATTTTTCCGGGGTTCTCGGACTTCGACGACTTGTGATACGCGCGCGCGTGGTATTGGTGTGCATGGATGACGGGGGGTGTCGATACTGGCCGGGCTAGGACGGTATGAATTCATGTGGAAAATGAGCGATGGGGCGGATCCATATGTAAATTGCAATGGCCCAGAGGGGTAGCTAAGTCTGGCCTTGGGAGGGGGTAGAGCTCATTTTTCTTGTAGAGAGGATAACCCACGATGGGTGGCGACGAAGCGGCGACGCGGCGGCGACGGCGACAACATATCCGCCAGACCGCCACCCAGGCCCAGACGAAGTGCGGCAACGAGGCGGCGACGGGATGACGACGGCGAAACCATAACCAGACCGCCACCCAGGCCCAGTTCCGCAGACCAGATGTGAGAACCCCTAAATGAAAACCGTGCTTGGGAAACATCAAGGAGGGAAAGGAGGATAAGGACGAGGAGGACGAGGAAAAGGTCCAGTGTAAACCCAACACCGATTAACGATGTGGCAACCAACCTTCTCTCCAAGCTTCCTCTTCACAGGCCTTACAAATATCCATTTCCACTGAAGGAAGTGCCACGTTGGGAGACAACCGATTGAACATCCCGAGCCGTGGTGCCAGAGCATCGTTTTAGGGGTTCTGGCGCCACGGGCCAACCTTGATGTTACGTTGTGACGATCCTAAATCGTGCCAAAACGCCGTTCCCGGGATTTCAACACCGCGCGTCAGAGTAATTGTTGCGCCCTGACAGTCCTACATTGTTTTAAAAGGCCATGTTTGGTACGCTGACCATAAAACCGTGAAGTTCCTGCACATGCTTGAGCCGAATGTGCGCGGCGCTACGGCGAGAACCACATGTTGAAAACTAACAGTCCTCCATTCGTGAAGGTCGTGCATTTTTTTTACACCAGTGTACGCGGCGTTAAGGCGAGAGCCGCATTTTGAAAACGACCTGTCCTCAATCCGTGGAGATTGATGCACATGCTTAAGACGAATGTGCGCGGCGCTACAGAAATAACCACACTTTCAAACCGACCCGCCCTCCATCCGCGAAGCTCTTGCAGATTCTTCAGTAGAATGTGCGCGGTGCCGAAGTGAGAGCCACGTTTTGGATGCAATCCGCCCTCAATCTGTGAAGCTGGTATCATTTTTTGATGTTTCAGGGTCATAAGTGGTAGGGAAGTCTCAGGCGAAACGCCTGGCCCGCCCTTCCGGTCGTCTTCGGGGTCGACAGGAAGGGATTATAAAGGAGCGGGGGAGGAGGAGGAGGAGGAGGATGAGGAGGAGGACCAGGGTAAACCCAAGAGGCATCAACGATGTTGGAATAAACCCTCCCTCCAAGCTTCCTCTTCATGGGCCCCTACAGCGGTTCATTTTTACTGAAGGGGCTGCTTCGTTGAAAGACAGCTGGTTGAAGACCCTGAATCATGCCAAAACATTGTTCTCGGGATTCCAACGCCACGGATCAACCTGACTGTTGCGTCTTGACGATCCTGGATCGTGCCAGAACGCCATTCCTGGGACTTGAACCCCGCGAATCAATATAACCTGTGCACCCCAATTAGCTTGAGGCCTTCCAAAACACAATTTCTGGTACGTTGATCATGGGAATCCGTGAAACTCTTGTAAATTGTTAAGACGAGTGTGCGCGGCGCTAAGGCGGGAGCTAGTATCTACAAAGGAGCCGCCCTCAATCCGTGAAGCTCTTGCAAATATTTAAGACGAGTGTGCGGGGCGCTGAGGCGAGAGCTGCATTTTGAAAACCACCCGCTCTCCATCTGTGAAGCTGTTGTCAATGTTTGAGTTTCAGAGACGTAAGTGGTGAGGAATTCGCAGGCGAAACGCTTGGCCCGCCGTAAAAACTGGCTTCGGGGTGCGACAGGGAAAAGTTATTTATAAGGAGACGGAATGGCGGAGGAGACGGAGGAGGAGGAGGAGGAGGAGGAGGAGGAGGAGGAGGAGGAGGAGGAGGAGGAGGAGGAGGAGGAGGAGGAGGAGGAGGAGGATGAGCAGGAGGAGGAGGAGGAGGAAGAGGAGGAGGAGGAGGAGGAGGAGGAGGACGAGGTGGAGGTGGAGGAGGAGGAGGAGGGAGAGGAGGAGGAGAAGGATGAGGAGGATCATGAGGAGGAATAGCAGGAGGTGGAGGAGGAGGAGGACGAGGACGAGGACGAGGAGGACGAGGAGGAGGAGGAGGGTTGCCCACTGTAAGCTCAAGACTCAGGAACGATGTTGCAATAAACCCTTCCCGCTTCATAGGTTTCCAGAAAGCCTCGTTAGAAAACAGCCGTTCAACACATCCGTAACTGTCCCAGAGCACCGTTCTTGGGAGTCAACGCCGCGAATCATCGCTACTGTTGCGACTTGACGATCTTGAATCGTGCCAAACCAAAATCCCTGGGGACTTCAACACGACGAATCAACTAACTGTTGCGCCCTGACAGTCCGACATCGTGCCAAGACTCCTCTCTGGGACGTTACCCATGAGAATCCTTGAAGCTGTTGTAACATCTGAAAACGATGGTGCGCGGCGCTGAAGCGAGAGCCACGTTTTGAAAAGGAACCGCCTCCAGCCGCGAAGCTGTTGCTTGCAAATGTTTATCACGAATCTGCGCGGCGCTATGGCGCCAGCCACATTTCGGAAACGACCCGCCCTCCATTCGTGAAGCTTTTGAACTCGTTTAGAATCAATGTGCGCGGCGCTAAGGTGATGGCCACATTTTGAAAACGTCTTCAATCCGTGAAACGCATACAGGTATGTAGGGCGGATGCGCGCGGCGCCGAGGCGACAGCCACATTCTGAATACCACCCGCCATCGACCCGTCAAGCTGTTGCAAATTTTCAGCCCCAGTATCATACATGGGGAGAGAGTCCCCGACTGGCCCTGGTGTTCCACAGGGAGGAGTTATTCACAAGGAGAAGAAATTGACCGGAGGTCTGGTTCAGTTGCCGCGCTTTGGCTCGGGCTTCCCTACGCCCTCCAGAGCAGCTCCAGCACAGAGATTGGTGCTGCAGGCGGGCCGCGGGCTCTTCCCAAGTCCGGCCCCGCCGTCCGCCAAATGGCCCCCTGCGGGATCGTGGGCGGGCCTCCGTGGAGGCGAGTGGCACACACCTTTTGTAGCCCCTCCTCGCGAGCCGCTTGCCCCCTCCCCCCTCCCGAAGGCGCGCAGGGCGGAGCAGCAGGCTCCCCAGGAGGACACCCCCACCCGCGGCGCGCGCGGCGCGAGGGGCTGCGGTCGGCCGCGAGATCCGAGCCCCGCCGTCGCCGAGCAGCGACTCAGGTAACTCGATGGGCGGCGGGGGTTGCAGTACCATAAGGAGTGCCAGATAAGAGACGAGGCGGCCTGCCTGACCACGGCGAGGCTCGGCCACGAAGAGGTTCCCTTGCCCAGGTCTGCGGAGCGGCCCGAAAACCAGGGCCCCTCCTGCGACCAGAGCGGAGGTCGTCGAGCACGTGGCGACATCCGAGTCCTGCCCTTGCCTCCCGTTGGTTCAGGAGAACCGATGGGGTTCGGATGTCGCCACCTGTGCGGGGGGCGGGCCTGTCAGCGGCGGCGTGGGGCCTGTCAGCGGTGGCGTCGGGGGGGGTGTGGGGATGGGCTCGTGTCGCTTCGTATCTTCCCTCGCCGAGAAGGAACCAAGCAGGGAGGTCTGTCGCCGTTTCAGGCCTCCGCGGGCCCGCGCTGGGCCCGCGGGGCCGTCCACAGAGAGGCTCCCGACGTAGAGCTTGGGGGGGGGAGGGTGGCCTTGAGTCTCGTCGAGCCTCCCCTCGTCGGCAAGGGACCACGCTGGGAGGTTCGTGGCCGTTTTCGGCCTCCGCGGGCCCTCGACGGGCCCGCGCGGGGCCGTCCACAGCGAGGCTTCCCGACGGAGAGCGGGTCGCATTGAAAAGGGGTCTATCGTTATAGACCTCTGGGGGGCCACGCCGCGACAGAATCCAGCACGACGCCGGACGTCTGGGTCGCCTGATATATTCATTCATTCGATCATATATTCATATACTTTCTACTCATTCGTGTTTTCACGCGTTCATTATTTCTATGACATAGTTTCTCTTACGTGTATGAATGTGTAGACAATGCCTATATGTATGTATACTCCTGTATTATAAATGTACGTCTATGCATCTGCACATATATATATATATGTATACACACGTCTATATGTATGTGTACATGTGTATGCACATGCTTACGTAAAGGTATATGTATAGGTATGTGTATGTGAATGTGTATATGTAGATGTAGATGCAGATGCAATTGCAGATGTAGATGCAGATGTATATGTAGATGCATGTCTATATACATATATTATACATGTGTATGCGCATGTATATATATATGTACGTGTACATGTATATGTATGTGTACATGTATATGTATACGTATATGTATATGTATATGTATACGTATAAGTATATGTCTATGTATACGTATATGTATATGTCTATGTATATGTATATGTATATATGTATTCGTATATGTACGTGCATACGTATATGTATATGTATCTGTTTATGCATATGTATATGTATATGTACATGTACAGGTACATGTACATATACATGTACATGTATAGGTACATGTATATGTATATGTATATGTATATGTATATGTAGATGTATATGTACATATTTATATATGTATATGTGTATGTATATGCACATGCATGTATACATATGTACGTATATGTATATGTATATGTATATGTGCATGTATACGTATATGTATATGTATATGTATATGTATATGTATATGTATATGTATATGTATGTGTATACGTACATGTATATGCATATGTATATGTAGTTGTATGCACACAACTATATATATATATATATATATATATATATATACATATATACGTATATATATATATATATATATATATATATGTGTATGGGGAGCGGCTCCTCCTGCTCCTCCCGCCCTTCTTGCTCCTGCTTCTGCTCCTCCCGACCGCTCCTGCTCCTGCTCCTCCTGCCTGCTGCCTGCTGCCTCGCCGTCGCCCTGGCGCTCCCGGGCAGCGCCTCGGACCCCCGACGCCGTGATTGCTTCGCAACCCCGACGCCCCAGAGGCCCAGACCCCCTCGTGCAATGAAAAAATCACTTAGGAGAGGAAAACATACACACGCAGACACAATTAATCCTCGATTCCCTAGAAAATATAGGAAAATATGGGAAGTGGGGGGGAAGACAGAAACCCAGAAAATATGGGAAAATATGGGGAATCTTTTTATTTGTGTGTATTTATTTGTGTGTCCCAGGGCGCCTTCAATCACGACGGACGGATTTCCGCCATTTTCGGCCTCTGGGGGACCTCGGCGGGCCTCGGGACCGTCAACAACGATTTACTTAGGATGAAGAACCGGTCCTCGGGAGGTTGTGGAGATCTCGGGGGGTCGACGCGGTGAAACAGTCATGACGTCGGGCTGGGGTCTGGAGGTCTGGGCCCCTTGCCACGGGACCGGCTTCTCATCCTGAGTCGTTTTCTGACGGCCGCGGGGCCCGGGCAAGGGCCCCCCGGAGGCCGAAAAAGATAGCGAACAGCCTCCCGTCGTGCTCTTGTTGACCCCCCCGTGATCCCCCGGGCCCCCCTGGGCCCCCCCCTGGGATTCCCCCCCGGCGCGGGGAAGGGATCAAAGGGAAGGGGCTTCCCTTCGATCCCACTCCGATGTTGTTCAGTTTTGCTTCGGACGGCGCGTATGAGGAAGAGGGCCCAGGCAAATGGAACAGAGGATCGGGCCGGACGAAAGGGGGGGATTGGGAAAGGGGGGGTTACGACATTTGCTGCATGCAGCTGATTTCGGCCTCACCGAGGGGCCCATTCCTCGATACATAGCCGCCTCTGGCGCCGGGAGGCGCCGGGAACATCAGCCACGTGAGCTGATTTTCACCCCCCCCTTTTGCTATCCCCTCCTTTCGCCCGACCCGAGAGGAGGACGGAGACAACGAACAGCCTCCCGTCGTGTTTTTTTTGTTCTCGACGCGAGTGGGCTGCTCAATGCTCCGGGCCACGGCTGGCGCAGCCCCTTCCTCGGGGAGCGAGCGCCGTCCGTGCCCAAGCCAAGGCGGCGGTGGCTCCCGTGGGGGGGACCCCAGACCTCCTCGCGCTGTGAAAAAAAACACGTTTTTTTTTGGGGGGGGGGGGTGAAGAAAACACATATACATACATGTGTGTGTAGATCTATAGAGAAAGAGAGAGAGAGAGAGAGAGAGAGAGAGAGAGAGAAAGAGAGAACGAAGGAAATAATAAAGAAAAACATGAACAAGTATACCCGCATTAGCGCACAAGCGCCACCAGGTGAAGCACTTTGATGTAGGGGAAGACAAACGATACGCGAGGCACTTACTGGGCTTCAGGACCGTCAAAAAGCGACTCAGGATGAAAAACTGGCCCCGAGGAAGGGGTCCAGACTTCTGGGGGTCGACGCTGTGAAAAAATCAAGGCGTCGGGGGTCTGGGTGGTTTGCACCAGCTCCCAGTAAGCAGCTTCGCTCGGAAGGGATGGCCCGCTCCTGCCGTTCCCCGATCCGTCCACATCACGTTGAGGAACAGACGGTCCATGGAGAGGAGGCATGCTGCCACATGGTTCCCAGATGTCGGCAAGACGTAATCACATGTTCAGGACATGTTTCAAGCGTGTCCCTCCCTTCGCAGCCGCCTCTTTCCTTTCCCTCCTCCCGATTCCCGGTTAATTCGCAACGCCGTCTCCTGGCTTGCCGAGCGCGCGTGCGGACTGATTCTGCCGCGCTGCGACGGACTCTGGCTTCTTCAAACTCGTTTGAACAGGTTTAGACTTGTGGAAGTCGATTATGTGGAGAGGAAGCACAGCCAAATAATTCCCAGATGTCTAAAAAACATGCTTTAAACATGTGTAAATCAGCCTGTTTGAAACATGTTTAGAGCATGTTTTACACGTCTTAAACACATCTTTCATTCGATGGTAGGACTGTTGGAGTGTCCACTGTCGTGGCGTCCACAAGTGCAAACACTGAAGACGCACATGTTGTCGCTCAATGACAAGGACCGTTCGAGCGTCTGCTTGCCGTGGCGCCCACGCCCACCGTGAAGATCCGGAGATCCCGTGCCCCTCGCCTCTCCCCGTCCACGGGCACGGGCACGCCTCCGCCGCGCGACAGGCTCGGGGGGGGGGGGGATGCCTCGATCCCCCGTTGCCTTGGCATCGCTCGGTCGTGTGCATTGTTTCTCGGCGGGAACCATCGAGGACCATCCTGGACCATCGAGCAACAAAAACACGCACGAAACCGAACAATGCAAGGTGCAAGGGAAATGGACGTCCGAGCGACGGCAAGTTGCCCGTTCGTCGCCGACGTGGGGCCCGACAGCGCCCTCCGCCCCCAGACCTTGCGGCACAGTCAACCCGCACAGTGAGCATGGGCAACCTTCTCAAGGACACCCTTGCGTCCTTGTTCCTTCGGCCCATCCTTGGCCACTTTCTATGGCCGCGCCCCCTCCGAAAAGCATCGGAATGGCCCTCAAGGCCCTTGCATCCTGACCGCGCAACCTTACTAGACGGGTTGACTGTTGCGCCATCGGGGGCTTGTCGCCGATTCATCGGCGATGCGTGGCCGATTCCCGGAAAGCAGGTTCGTCCCCCAGAGCCAGTCTTAAGTCGGGCCTGTCCCTCTACAGGAGGAGACTTCAAAAGCAGTTTAAAACAAACAGTCCGGGGACGACTTGTTTTTAAACTGCTTTCGAGTACTTTGGGGGTATTTTTTGTGTTGGGGTATTTTTCCAGGTTTCGCTCAAGATCCCCCCTGTAGGGGACAGGTCGGACCCATAGCCAGTCCCCGTGTCCATCGCTCCCCCTCGCGGCGGGCGCTGCGCGCGTGGTGCTCGGCGCCGGGGTGCGGTCCTCGGGAGGCCCCCCGCCCTCGGGCGGCACGCCGCCGCCTGGCGCGGCCCCCCGCTCCTGCCCCTCGCTGCTCCGGCAGGAGGCCCTGCGGCAGCTCTCCCTCTCTCGCTCTCTCTTCCCTCGTCCTCCTCGTCCTTCCCTCCTCCCTCTCCCTCTCCTCCCTCCTCCCTCCTCCCTCCCTCCCTCCCGCTCTCTCTCTTCCCTCCTTCTCTCTCTCTCTCTCTCCTCCCTCCTCCTCCTCCTCGTCCTTCCGCCGCTGCTGCTCCGTGCTGTTCGGGGAGGAGGGGCGGGGGGTCAAGGGCAGCGTTGGCGGCAGCGTCCCTCTGTGTGGCGACCGGGTGGCACGCTCGTCTGCAGGCCCCAGGGCCAGGAGGCCGTAAGCTGTGACGCCATTCCTCCCCAGATCC